GAGTTAATATGAGAAACAACACAGCAGGTGAATCTTCTGTATATTCAGTACGAGTACGAAAAACAGCTGATGCTTTGTATTTAAGTATGTAAGTAATGTTCATAAAGGGACTGTTTTAAACTGATGTGTAGTTAAAGCACTGAGTGACTGTGAGAGACGCTGGAGAGGAATTCCACTTAATTGATTTTGAGATCAATTTTTCACTTTTCAAAACACTCGTGAAAAATCATCAGCCTTTTTTTTATTTTATGATCTTACATTTATTAAATTACATATAATAATTTATGTCCTAATCTATGTTACAGGCCTGTGTAAGAACGCTATTAAAGAACACACTAGACTATTCCTATTTAATGATTAAGGATGAAATGTAAATGTCCAAAGGGGTCGAATTATTACTAAAAAAGTGTTACTTAAAAAAAAATATATAAAAAAATATATACACAATGGATTATAACGGCCATGTTAAGTAAACAAAGTGAAAGGTCTGTTATTTTAATTTGGATGTCAGTTTGAAATGCCAAGAATAAGCTTGACATTTGACTCAACGATATTCTTGGGATGTGAGGTTAATTTAATTAGTTTTTTCTTAATGTGGCCTTTATAATCCTCTGAGAAGTTTGTTTTGTATAAGGCTGAGTACTTTTTGTAGATAAAAATTCTTAAAAAATCAGTTTTCCATAGAATTCCACTTTAACTGTGCACATTTTTAACGTGTGTGTGTGTGAGCGATGATTTTTACTGGCACAGTCAGTGAATATTTGAGGCACTATTTGGATCCACTACACCTACTCGCCTTCCAGCTGACTTGTTAGACTCTCATGTTGTGAAGCTGAATCTTTAAACCTGCATTTGAAATATTAACTTTTAATGGCGGCAGCGGCAGCGATGCTGCAGATTTTAATGGTACTGCGAAGTCTCTGAGCGACAGGGCAGTGTAAGTCAGGCTAACCCAGCCTTTTGTTTTTTACTTCATCATATTTTGTTCTTTTTTTTTAACTGTGTAACCAACCGCACAGTTCTGCTAAAAGAGGAACTCTGGTGATTGTACAGTGAGCAGGTGTCTGGGAATCAGTAAGTACAGCATTCATGCCCCTTTTTTTCTTACACTTAACAAAAATCAGGCATTTCCACCGCACACTATATAAATACATGTTCAGTTATTGATTTGTCTTTTTTATTCCTACGTGTTTATGGGTTTCAGACATCCTCTGCAAAAAGAAGAGTTGTGTAATTTTTTTTATTTTTATGCATCATGTGACATAATTTGAGACTGTTGGTTTGTAAATGGTGGGAGTTGCTTTTTTTGTACATACTTATGTTGCTTTAACAAGAAAAAAAA